GCACATGCGCATTGTGAACTGTAAATTCAGGTACTCAATCAAGTACCTGAATGGTATATATTAGCGAATGTAATGAATCATTCTTAGTTCATTGTTTAAGTTTGAAAATGTCCATATAGGACGAAACTGCAGTAACGTTAGTTACAAATAAAAGTGGTAAAAAACATAGAAATTTTCATTTCTCTTTTCATCATGATCTCCTACCACATAGTAACGGCTACATTCATCAATTTATCTTTTGATGTTATTTGCCGCCAGTCCCTATTTTAATGGCTCCTTAGCGGCGTCCTCAAGGGGCATAGCGAGTGGAAATATCTCAGTGACTTCGTAGATGAATTGCAATGTCACTTGCTTGACTATGTTGCTTTCTTTGATGTACCGGCATGTTTGCGTTCTCGAAATATTTTCACTCTCCACATTTTCGGATAAACTATAGTAAACATTTGGAACAATAATAATATAACATAATACTTTTTTCTATGAATTCATTCGGTAAAGCGATGGTTCGTCCATTGAGATAACCGCAAGGTTTGGTTTTGGTCATCTCCCGATGATGCTAACTCAGTTAAACATGTTGAGTGGCAGTATGTCTCTCCTGATGTGAGAAAAGTGTTTGCATATTTTATTTTGTTTATGAAAAAAAAATTGTATAACTTGAAAGCTGGATTTGATTTTCACTATTCTAAATACACAGTCTTATGCAAATCGTTTCGAGCAAATAATTAACTAATACCGATATACTTGGCTCATACCCGAACACGCAATATTGTAAACTGAACTATGAGTCCAATGGACCAAATCCTTGTGTAATCGAATTAAAAAAGTGTTGGTAATTACATTTCTTTATGTGCTTTTAAAGTTGACAATGTGATCCCTGGAACGGTATATAAAGGTGTTGCATGAATTAGATGTGTACCACTTCAGTTGTTCAGAATAGAAGTAAACAATGAAGACTGTAAGTACTCCATATTGTCTTTTCAACAATTTGGAACTCAATTCTGATTTTTCCCAGATCATCGTTTTGGTTTCCGTGATCATTGGAATGGCTTGTGGACATGTAAGTGAAATATGAGAATATATTTTTTTTGTTATTTTTCTTCTACTGGAATTCTGTTGTGAACGGGTAAAAGTAAATTTCTGAAAGCTATTTCAATTTCGAAAACGCTTAAGACCTGACAGTTCTAATAAGCTCAAATTTCGTTGAAAATATCTATCACGCATCATTGATATACAGAAGTGTTTTTACGTTAGATCTAACCATGAATGACTATTAACATGAATTTTGAAAAGTGACAAAAAGGGGTACAATATATCTCGAACCGAAATCATTTGATTTTACAAATAGTTATCTGGATATGATATATTCTGAAGTGACAAAATGATAACTAAATATAATATCGGGTTGCTTCAAAAGTTTTGTCCGTTTTTAAGAGCCTACTTTAAATATATATAAGTGAATACTTATTCAATTCAATCGAAATAAGCGTCATTTTAATCAATGCACTTTTGCCAAGGTAACACAAGGCAATTGATTCCGGCAGCATGAAAATTGTGTACTGGGGATTCGGTGAAGTCGACGAAAGCCGTTTTTTGTCTGGTCCTGATTGGCGTAGGTTCTACCGGTGAGAAAGTTATCGAAGTGCTTGAAAAGATGCTTGTTGGTTGACGGGAGGTCTGCGAATTATGGTTGGTTCAGCAGGACTTTAACGCTCAATTTGTTTAGTTTTCGGACAATGATTGTTTCGATACAACAAAGAATTGAACAGAAACTAATTCAACACTCTATAGTTTCTTGCAATAAATTGATGGATGTAGCCGTTACTACGTGGTAGGAGATCATAATGAAAAGAGAAACGAAAATTTCTTTTTTTTACCACTTTCAATTGTAACTAACGTTACTGCAGTTTCGTCCTATATGGACATTCTCAAAGTTATACTCATTGTATAAGTTGTATACTTATTATATACTGCAGTAACTAGGTTACTACAGTAACTACGTTACTGCAGTTTCGTCCTATATGGTAGTTACAATTATAAGTGGTAAAAAACATATAAATTTTCAATCTTTTTTTCATTATAGTTTCAAGAAGGCAGTTCATGAAGAGTAAACATAAAAAATGTTCATATTTAGTCCTCAATAGTCAATTAAGGCGTCCCACAGGGATATACAATTGGTGCACTACTCTTTTTGAGCTACAAGCAGCTTCATCGGACCAGAACCTGTCATTGGCATCGCTTAAGGCTTTGTCAAACAAATATTGAACACCAGGATTGGCTCACTCCAAGGTGTTTATTCACCCTTCGAAGCTTGATACCAAACAGTTGTTGGACTACAACAGTTGGGATGAACTACGTTGTCTAACAGGACTTCTTATAGGTCACTGTAATTTAAATCATCATATGCATATACTCCAACTGTCGGAAGACAGTGTGTGTCGCCTCTGTTTGGAAAATTATGAAACAGCAGAGCACATACTTTGTGTCTGCCCCGCTGGGGACCGAATCACGTTTTTAGAGTTCGGCCGAGCCGTACTCTTATCATCTGAACTGAAATACAACTCACCATACAAATTAATCGACTTTGTTAAGAAGGTAAGAAGGTACAATAAACCCTTGCGGGTTGCGGTGGAGGGTCAAATTGACCCACTCACTTTTGACATAACTTAACCTAACCTATTTCAGCGTTGGACTCTGGGTTCAACAACAAAGTTGTTGAACCCAGAGTCCAAAACCAAAGCATTCGTCATCCAATATCAGACAGACAGCACTATTTCGACCCGCCAAAGGTCTCATCAGTGCTGCTCGGCTGAATCACAAATGCATTGCTGGACTCATTTGTTCTTAAATGATAAGCCTGAGTAAGTACAGACGATGACATTTCAACTTATGAAGACGACATCTTTGGTATCCATAGAAGATTCAATCCAGTCAATTTTAGTCAAAAATGAACGAGACTTCCCAAGGCATAACCAACCGCCGAATGAGATTTGTCATCTGTTTTTTACTGCAGATTTTACTGCAAGGATATTAGATGAAACCATAGTCCAAAAAAGTATTCATGATCAACACCACGATGTGTCACTCAGATCAATCATTTTTTTGTTTTTTTCAAACCCTCCTCTCATTTTCATGTTTTCTTCGTATTTTCTCTCATTGCCTTTCGAAGTTATCAATTAGTTTTAGACATAGTAATAATTGCAAAAAGGTCGAATTAGAAATGACTGTGACTGTGACTGAACTGTGACCTATTGTCGTACTTCTTTTGGGTTTCTGGATTTTATTGTAATTGTATTTGTAATATCTGGATGAATAATAAGTGAATTATTATTATTACAATTATCTCCATTTCGTCTAGTTTTGAGGTGATATTTGAAAATTGTTTTATCGTCTTCTAGGAATCTCGTTTCTTCTTTTCGTAATATCAAAATGCTTTTTTTAGGACAATGCTCATTACAAATTTGAGTACGGCGTCAATGATCCCCACACCCACGACCACAAATCGCAGTATGAACACAGACACGGACCCCATGTTACCGGTGGATACACTTTGAAGGAAGCTGATGGAACTCACCGTATTGTGAAGTACACATCTGGTCCTTACACTGGTTTCGAGGCTGTCGTTGAACGAGTTGGTCATGCTCAACATCCAGCTCATTACGGACATGGTCATGGACATGGGCATGGACATGGAGGAGTCGGAGGAACCAGCTATGTTGGAGTTACACACTGGAGCAACCAAGGTCATGATGGACATGGGTATTAATTTGATGATTTTGTGATTGTTTTCGTTATTGTATGTAATAAATTGAGATTTAGTTTCACATAGCATTATATTACCTGTCACAGAGCAAATGACGATAGTTGATAATTATCCTCTTTGTCAACTATAAAAAAACTTGATAAGTAGACTTTGGAACCTCTGGAGTGAAATGAATCTGTTGAACATACTCTTCTCTCACCAGAGCACTTAACCAGAAAGACAACATTTAGAGAGCGATTCCGTAAATCCTAGACTTTTCAGAAAGATAAACATTCAAAATTTGTAGTTCTTTCATGCAAACCAAAACTAACCAACGGATTGGTTCAAATTTCTGAAAAAAAAGTGAACCGTCACGGGACACCTGACAGACGTGAAACATTAATAATAATATTTTGTGACCCCTGTAATGATTTTTGGTACTGAAATATTCATAAATGTAATCAAAACATACATGAAAAAAATTTTAACGTGGCTTCAATATACTAGTAAACTCAAGAATCTCANTTACTGACTAATTGAACTCTTCAAAGTATTATATAACGTAGCAACTTTTCGGGGTGAACCTTTTCTATTACACTCCAGCAGACTCTCTATTGATTTAGCTTTGTTCATTTTTCAGATTGTTGATAGTTAAAAACCTAGAGAACAACAAAAAATCAGAAATCTGTAATAGTGAAAAAAAGGGATTTCAATTGATGTTACGAAGTTTATAAATGAATTTGTAAATTAATTTTTAATCCAAATAATATTATATTATGACCATTTCATTACGTTTCCAACAATATTCTATTATGTAGTGAAACACATTGTATAAATTCGACCTAAAAATACTTTTTTTTGCTCCGAATGAAGTAAAAGTAACGTTGCGACGTAATTCAATATCTTTAGAGTTTTAGCTCCTTCATAATTCAAGTTGGGGATGTGAATATGTAATACATAATAACTGTGTATGCTTGAGTGAGATATTAAATGTACAAGATTCCTATGTTTTTACTTACTGTCATTGTGACATGAGTGAATTTGTCTCATCTGTGACATAAATAAAGTCGTAATTTTATGAATGAAAAGAGTGCGAAAAATATACCCCTTTCAATTTAAACAAGATTTCTATGGCTGGGATTTAATCAAATGAGCGAATAAATGTCATTGTTTATTTATTTATTTGATCCACACAAAGTTATTAGTTTTATTACATGGATTCTTATTATCAGAATTATAGATAATGTAAATGTAACTTGAAAAGTATATGTTTTAGTTACATAAATACTATCAGAACTGATTGGGTTACAGATTCGGGTAGATTCATTTTCAAGAAGATATATTCAGTATATTATTCACTATTGTTAGTATTCGTTTCTTAATCGAGATGTTCATATTGAATTGTAATCAGGCCACTTATGATATTTTTTAAATTAAAGATATCGAAGAAAAACTGAAATACTTGTTATGCTTTCGTAAAGTTTCATGTTAGTTACCTAATCGAAAAAAAACTATCATTGCCAAGGCTATTGCCAAGGTTTATAATTGGACAAAAACCCAATTTATGTTTTCATTTTTATGAATATCATTTTTCGTTCGCGAATATGAGCAACATGATTTGGCTTTAATTATTTTTGATGAATTTTCTAAAATTTCTACTTAGCCTTTTTATATTAAGAAAATATAATTTTTGTTTGTACCAAGGAAGCCATCATCGTATTCGTTTTTATAAAATTGAATACGAGCATAAAGTTAGAGCCAGTCTTATCCGTTCATGTACATAACTGTAACATATGATCTAAACTGGTATTTTTCGTTTTAAGAATTATATAAGACACTCTTCAATGAAGGAACCATCATCACTGTCTTTGGCAAACTCATAATTTGACACCTTTCTTCAACATGATTATTATTGCCGGAGAAACGATTTTAGGTGGGCACAATTAACAAAAATGACAATTATTAAAAATATATCGGTATTTTCGAAACTTGCTTCAATCGCAGTGATATTATACATTTTTTTTTTCGAAGCACCTGATTTGAGTTTTAACTGGAGTTTAGCTCTGCCAGGTACCTGCGTCTTATTGTCCTAAATAGATAAATGCGCACTTAATGACTTGCTAGTGTGTCGTGGTGTGCTTTTGCTTTTTTGCAGGAGGCTGCTCACTTTCACTTTCTAAATTATCACATATTACTTTTAAAAAATATTTATATGCTAAAACAAAGGTTATGTATACTGTAGAAAACACAACCGTATACCTACACTATAGGTATCCGAAGTCAGTGTGGCTAGAGAGAAGATAATCGCACAGTCGCTTGCGCATAGCGACCCGTCGCCACAACATGCGTCGCTCCGCAAACAATCGGTTTTACGTGCGGCTATAGATGTTTCACATCAAAAACTGAATATGAAAGTAGCTTTCATAACTTCTCGTACACTTCAACAAGTTTTGGGCAACCAGAAAGACCAGACGACGGAAAAAAGAAAGCCTGGGATTTACGGAATAAGCTGTGAGGATTGCGACAGAAAGTATGTTGGTCAAACCAAGTGAACTATAATAACGCGTTTCAAGGATAATTTTCACATATTCTGTTTAGTAGACTGTCCAATGTTGCTCAACATGCCATAGAGAACGACCACAGAGTATATGAGGAAAGGTTGAAATTGTTGAGACCGACACATGAAACGTTTTTAGATGCCTTTGAGAGTTTCGAAATTGAAAAATGTGGAGTGAGATATATGAACGGTGATGAAAGTGTCATTCCTAATAGCCCATTGTTCGTACTCGTACGTGATTACAGATATAAATGAACATTTTTATGAAAATTCATCATTAGCAACTGGACATTTTTTTCATCACACAGTTACAAATACAAAACCTGAATTAGAAGAAAACTGCGCATTTGAAGGACATAATCAAGAATACAAGAAGAAAAAATCTGTATATTTTGGAATACATCATTTTTTGTGGAGGAAATACTGCTACGGGATGTTCACTCTGGGTTTGAACCTTCCGAAATCTGAAAAATCAATGGATATAGATCAGTAGAAAATCTGCCCGAATGTAATGAAGGGCATACTGGAAAGTTTGACATTTGTTGAAAGAAATACGCAAAGTTTCTATTAAAGGTATTTAATAGTAATTTTTTCAGGTTTTTAAGAACGGAAACATACTTTTTGGCTGTTTTGAAAAAGCTAAGTAATAAAATTCCATTTTTCTTTCAATCAATCATTTCATTCATAGGCAAAATATATAGGTACGAAAAGTTACTGACTAATTGAACTCTTCAAAGTATTATATAACGTAGCAACTTTTCGGGGTGAACCTTTTCTATTACACTCCAGCAGACTCTCTATTGATTTAGCTTTGTTCATTTTTCAGATTGTTGATAGTTAAAAACCTAGAGAACAACAAAAAATCAGAAATCTGTAATAGTGAAAAAAAGGGATTTCAATTGATGTTACGAAGTTTATAAATGAATTTGTAAATTAATTTTTAATCCAAATAATATTATATTATGACCATTTCATTACGTTTCCAACAATATTCTATTATGTAGTGAAACACATTGTATAAATTCGACCTAAAAATACTTTTTTTTGCTCCGAATGAAGTAAAAGTAACGTTGCGACGTAATTCAATATCTTTAGAGTTTTAGCTCCTTCATAATTCAAGTTGGGGATGTGAATATGTAATACATAATAACTGTGTATGCTTGAGTGAGATATTAAATGTACAAGATTCCTATGTTTTTACTTACTGTCATTGTGACATGAGTGAATTTGTCTCATCTGTGACATAAATAAAGTCGTAATTTTATGAATGAAAANTTTTAATGTATGGATTAATTTCTCATTGCAGTTAAAATGTACTTATTGCTATTATAGCTTTCTTGCGGGTTTATCAATTACCAACCCCAACAGGGTTGTGAAACTAACCCAAAATCGTTCACAAAATGTAACCGTTTGAAATTCTATAAATTTCGTCAATTAGCATTCGATGTTTTCATACCCGACCATCGACTTCAAACATGCGTTAAACTATTTACATTGTACACCTTTGTGTGATTTTACAAATTGTTATAATTCCGAACCTAATGGATGTTTGTTAATGGTTTTCCATTGTGTTAAATACAAGTTACGGTGTGACAGTTGCTAGTTTAGCATCGAACTGACAAGATTATTAATGAATTTTTCTGATATTTCAAGATTCCCAGGATTCTGACCGATTTAGTGCATGCTGGTCAAATATTTCATATATATGAAGGAAACTTTTGGATTTGGTTTCGTCGAATATTTCAAAATTAACGTTAGATACTTTTTATCAAATATCATAGTTGAAACTTTTGTATATTCATCTCAAACGGAATGCAACTAAATAGTAGGTATCGAGTTCAAACAGAATTTTCTCAAAAAAACCAAGATGTATTACAAAGTTTCAACGCTATACGCTGATTACAAATTACTATTTGAAGCCTGAAATTATTTATAATTCTGGAAGGAAGGATCGTCGTACAAATATTTCAATTTTATTGAAGAATTGGAAGTATTTGAAAGTGTTCCATACGATTTTTGAAAACTGTATATATGCATAAAATACATATTTCACATGCTTTCTGAATGCAGCTAGCCGTTTAGGATTCTATATGAATCAGGCATACAATACAGGGTGTTCCTTAAACACATTCTAATATTTAAGGAGGTAATTCTACTCTCTATTGATTTAGCTTTGTTCATTTTTCAGATTGTGGAAGGTTATA